GTGATGGATGGGCAGGAGGTTGTCACGGCGGAGGTGGAGGGGGAGGAGGTGGAGGAGGAGGGTCTGGGGAAGGCGGGGTATATGGCCCAGGTGGGAAGGGTAATGGGGGATATGGGGGAGGTGGCGGCGGCGGTGGTGGTGCAGATGGAGGTTATGGTAAAGGTGGGTATGGTGGTGGCGGTAGCGGTTCCGGTGGTGGAGGTGGTTATGGTGGCAATTCTCGTGGGGGTGGCGGTGGCGGCGGTGGAGGAGAGGGGTATGGCAGTGATACTAGTGGCTTTGGCGCTAGGAGTAGTTCTGGTGGTGATAATGGTTCAAATGGTTAGAATTTTATATGAGTTAACCAAATACTACCATTTATACACACATAATAAGGGGTGGATGTTTCAAATTGCAAAATAAGGATTAGTCCAGAGATTAGAGTTACAAATCAATCACCAAATGTGTTGCTTGATGGTGTTTACCTACTACCTTAATTGTGTGAGTAGTCAACAACAATGTCCACCAATGCAATAAAATCAATAAACATTACCAAATATGGTTTTTTCTGTTAAAGTTGCATTTCCATTCTGTTGCCTCCAAATATGGTTTTTTTTGCTATTCTTCATTTGTAAAAATAAAAATGAAGTGTGTAAGATTGCAAATCACTACCTATCAGTAAAACATTCCATTCCATGACTGCAAAAACAGTTCATTATAACCCCAAAGTCTCTAAAGTGAAACCGGTTGCCTTTCATAGCAATGCCATCTGAGGCAGTGAACATAATAGCATAACCATGTCGGAACATCAACCATTTTTCGCGCTATTTTTTTCCATCTCATCTCTACTAGTCTAGTTCTTGTAATAACCTAAAGTGATGCTAACAAGGAGTTGCCACAAGTAATAAACCGGTGGTATGGATATGCGAATGAGAAAAGGCTGGCGTGTTACATCTCCCCACATTCAGCAATAACGCAAGCCAGTTTTGGTCTGTTATTGGGTCCTGTACCCACATTCTCAATCTTTCTCACCACTAGAAGACCATCTCCAAGTACTCGCTGTACAGATAAATAAAAATAAATATGATACTAGTTGGTGCAGAAGAGAGGTTGTAGTTTTTAAAATGGGGAGAAAACCAAGAGACGAGGGATATCACATCGTATGTATCTAATCTTTTTGGATAAAGGAAATAACATACCCCAAAGACAACGTGTTTGTTATCAAGCCAATCACATTTTGCACAAGTGATGAAGAACTGCAAGAAACATGTGATCAGTTTAGGAAACAGTCACGTGAGCCACGTTAGTTTTTAGCGAGAGGATTTATGGAAAGGGAAGAAGAAGAAAACTAAATTTACAGGATACTGGGTTGTTATTGCTGTTGTAAAAAAAATTGTTTCAAGGAACCTCAAACAAAAACAATGTTGTGGTGGTGTTAGGGGTGAAGGCGGGGGTCTTATCAAGTTGGTATTTTATGAAGGATTTGTGGAGAAATGAAAGGGGAAATGGGTTGGACGAAATTATGGAGATGTGGCAGGAGTTCTTTTTGGGTTTTTAGTATTATGAAGAAGAGTGGAAAATCAGGAGAGAAAGGTGGATTTAGAAATGATGGGATAAATTCCAAATTAGGAATAAGAGATAAACACACTCTTATCTTAATTTGGAGCCAAATTAATACTCAAGGATAAACTCACCTCTAGATTAACTTGGGGTTAAACTCTAGTATTTAATCAAGATATTACACACTCAATTAAATAACTAGAACCTAAAACTCTCACTTAAGAGAACCACACTTAAGATATAGAATTAGGGCTAAAATAGTATCACACTATTTTAAGAGAATACTCAAAAGAGTAAACAAAGTTTTCATGCAACAAATCTGCCTTTACAATGGTCTCATGGCCGAATTATATACAAAGCAAGGGGAAGGGAAATACNAAGGGATTTGAGTGGATTTCTTTTGGCTTTATTTGGATGGGAATTCGGCCCTATGTGAAACAAGTCAAAGGGTTATTATATGGACATGATAAGGTGTTCTTTGGCTTGTTTTAGGTAGTATATTTCAGCCATATGGGTGCAAGGAAAAGGAAACAACATGGCCTGACTTTTAGTGAATAATAGGACAAGAAGTTACTATTCAATCAAAGACCTTTTGCTGATTTTTGTCCCTTTGTTGTGTGTGGTGATTTAGGCCTGATTTTGGGAAGAAAAAAAGGTGGGAATTTCGGCCTTGTGATTGGGAATGAAGGGAAACACTTTATTTGATATAATAAAGGCTTTTAAAGAAGGAAAACAACAAACTGAAGTTTTGGGTTTTATCTCTCTGTCATTTTTGGCCTAAGGCTTGAGAAGATGGGGGAGACTTTATTTTTGAGACACAAACTATTTTGGATGTTGAGGGATTGGGTTTTGGTGTTTGGGGATGACCAAGGGAACCCTTGGATCAAAACGAAGGTCGTTTTGGCCTTTCGGGTTTAAGGACCTTTTAATTCAAGTTAAAACGGATCATAAAACTTGAACATTAGTCCTTGGACTCTCATGTTAGTGTGGGACGTGAGTGAGAGTTTCATGGGCCAGGCTCGAGTATAACAGGTGGTAAGGACAAAACAAATTTAAGACTAATATGAAATCCTGCGTTAATGGTTGCTTATGAAGAACAAAATAGATGAAGTATTTATGGAGAAAAAAATGTCATTGCCATGCTGTTAGATCATTTTCTAATGCCTAAATCTCTCAAGAGTCAAGACATACCTGACACCCATTTGAATTCGGCCCACTGTTTGCCTGCACAAAAATTAAACCAACAATTCAAGATCACTAATGAAAATTTGAAAATAAATAATAATAGTATAGGTATAACGTATTTAATTTCAAAGAAAAAAGACCATTTTTTATATAAATGTGATTAGAATTCCTAATCTCTAAATCAATTATGCTTTTCTATTCCTTCATGTGATGATTAGAATTCCTCGCATGCAAGTCTTTTGCCTATATAGGAATGCTAGTAAAAAGGTCTAGAGTTAGACCTCATGTTGTCCTGTGCAAGAGATAGAAGTACTTGGAACATGGAATGCTTGTTCAATGAGAAGTAACATGTAAAGTGCCATACCATAGATAATAAGCCCGGACCAGTGTGTTTTGCAATGAAGTTTTCATCATCAAACTTACTACCATATATCGATAAACATCCACTTCCATCGTTCTACAAAGAGTAGCAACAACAAAGAGATGATCAAAAGTGATGATAATTAAATCACTGATTTACAAAATATAGTAGCATAATATCAGTATGTGGGCATTTTTAGAGCATCGTAAACATACTAGTTTTAAAAAACTTGATAAAGATACTGGGTGTGTGTGGTGGGAGGGGGATTCTACATGGCCTTAGAGGCTAAGATATCTCATGCCTTAGGTGTACATTGTTCTTGTTAGAGTTGTACTTTGTCCCTGTGGTAGGGCAAAATTGACATGGATTGAAAGTACTTCCTCCGTCCCAAAAAAGGCTCTTGTTTGGGTTTGGCACAAAGTTTAAGAAAAGTAAAATAATGTGGTTGAAAGTGAGAGAGAAAGATGGTGAGCCACACAAATGTTTCCAAAAAAGGAAACAAGAGTGTTTTTTAGGACTTCGTGAAAAGGAAAACAAGAGCCTTTTTTGGGACGAATGGAGTATAATAAAAGGAGACATTGAAGGTTATGTTTCGATTGGTGGGAGGGAAATTGGAGAGAGATAGTAGATAAAGGGAGAATTGTTTGAATGGGAGAGAATATGTGAAGAGAGAATGAAAATCACATGGGGTCTACACATTTCAATGTCTTTACTCTATTGGGAAGAAACAAGGAAAGAGAACATCTTTCTTTTGTTTCCTATTTTTATCCATCTTTTTTTAGACTATTTATTTCTTTTCTTAATATGAGACTAATTTTGTCTTTTTAAAGCCAACATGCATTTCTTTCTCTTCTCATTCTATTTCTCTCTCACACATAGAACAAAACCCTACACGAAAAATCACACAAGTGGGGTTGCAGGTATTGGGTGTACACGGACTTTATCCCTGCTTACAAAAGATAGGGAGGATGTTTCCGAAAGATCCCAGGTTTTCTCTCCTCTAAAACAATACAAAACACATACCCTCTTTCTCACTTTTTTCTTTCTACCCCCACTCTTTCTTCTATTTTTTGTTTTTGCCCGCACGATATCTTCTCTTCTTTTTTCTGCCAATATCCTCTCTTCTCTTTTTTTTCTACTCTTTTTTCCTTCTCAACTAAGCAAACCATTAATGTAGCAAATACCATCGACTTGGGAATGAGGGTTGAGGCTTGGTTGTGATCACACATCCATTTAAGCTAAGGAAATTTCAAAAACTTGACAAAGGCATTAGATGTGTATCTATGCTAGTGGCGTGTGTGTGTGTGCGCGCGCGTGATAGAAAGATATCGAGGGAGACAGAAATGTAGAGCTACCTTCAGATAATCACCACCTTGAATCATAAAATCCTTGATCACCCTATGAAATTGAGAATTTTTGTAACCTTGTGGAATTCCATTTTTCCTGTGAAATTTAATACAAAAGTTAAATAAGAGAGTAAATATACAAGAAAAATACAAATAAATTTGACTAGTAGTGCCTCGTCTTCATATAGGTATAATCACCATCATCATCTTAATTTCAAGTGTTAGGGGCAGTGACAAATCCATTGTGCCAATGAGTTATTAAAAAAGTTAATGCTATATATTCATGGAAAAAGGTGCAATTGCAATATTTACAGCAGATAATCTTCCTGTCATTAATGAATAATGAGAAGGTATCACAAAATTGACATCACCACATGTCTTTCCCACTTGCCTGGGGAACATATCGCAATGCTACAATGAGTTGATATGAATCTTAAAGTTGTGTCTCGTTAAAAAATTGGCATTTTTAAGGCAATGTGGAATAACGAAATAAGTAAAAAAAATAGAGAAATACGGCGTATATCATAACTTAGTTTAATTATCATGTTTTAAACAATTCTTTTTCAGATTCTATTCTTCTATTCTTTACATGTTCCACTTTCAAATTACAGAGTATATTCTTTTAATATTTAAATATTTCACGTTTCTCACTTCACAATTTCATTCCACAATCCACATTATCATTTTTTTTTATACTGGGGTACAACTTTTGGACAGGGGCACTCTTTTAAGTTTTCACTGGGGGCACATCATCTACACACACATACTCAATGAGTAGATCCGCCGTGCCTAAGACTAGTCCAGCAATTTAAGTCATGCATTTCCTGCATCTATTTACATATCATAGACACCTGATTCTATAGTTTTCACTCAGAGAAAATGTTAGGATGATTCCCTTCTGCAAATAATACATCATTACTAATCTAAGGGCAATTGTGATCTCCATGACGCTGGATGTTGGGCCAGCCAGACCATTTTATCAGTAGTTTATATTCATAACATTTGGACGGACATTGAGAACTAAAATAATTTTCTAAGAGTTCTAAAAATTCAGGCACTGTCATGGTTGGGATTTAAGGCTCAAGGTTTTGATTATAACTTCTGGAACTACTATTATAACCTTACAAATGCATAAACCTCAAACAATTCAGAAGAAAATAGATGGGGCTTCAACTGAGTGCATAAAGTGAGTCAATGACCTGAGCTCGCCTGTGCAGAACTGCCTGAAAAAAAAGAGACATAGTAATGTAAGGTATGGGAGTTAAATTGACCACTACAAAAAAACAATATAAATCGACAGCAAAAATGACATCTTATAGCACAGTTTGATAGGAAAATTCATCAGGAGAAGTAAAATAAATAAGCTATGCCAGTGTTTCTGATACTAACATCCACATGGTCAGTCTAGCTCAGAACACAAGAAGAAGACCAGATAAACAAAAGATGCAAACCGAGCAAAGGTTCACAACAAAGATTGAATGTGGAATACTTAAACTATAGCTACAAGTGGCATCTTTGTTAGGGTTCCAGAACCGATCTGGAATTAAAGATGCGAATTCTAGGGTTTAAGACTGACCTGAAGTTTTCAGCCGTTTTGGGAGCAATGTCCGCGAAGAGCTCCATCTTGATTCGACCAGCAGGGATGCTTCCGATGGTTATGTCGAAGAAGACAACGGGATTCTTATGAGATTGCGGCCTTATGTGCCACTCAACTCCTGGCCCAGCTGCTGCCGCTCCTCCTCCTGCAGCTCCGCCGGCGGACACCATCACTTTTCAATCACGCAATCAAACTATATGAGCCTTCCAATGAGAAAACAACCGCGTTGTCAAAAAATAAGGAAAGCATGCGGATTTTATCTGTCAAATCCAATGGCTACTGGAACTACGCTGCAGCTGAAACGAAGAACCTAACAGGTAAAGAAAATTACCTGTTGCAGAGAAGAGGAGGGGCTAGGCATACCTGATAGAGATTCGCGTAAAGTCGGACGGACAGAGAGGAGACGCCTTGCCACAAATTAGTCGAGTAGCTCGAAAAAATATTACGGAGTATCCCCTCAATAAGACCACTTTCATTTTTACACACCATCCAGGTTTTAATCCATTTTATCTTGTAATTTGTATATTAAAAAATTATAAAAATTATATATTAATAATATATATGTTAAGCCAAATCAAACAAGATCACACATGACTATATTTAGACTTAGGGGCTGTTTGTTTCAGCCTCTTAATGGTTCAGCTGTCTGAATGGTTTAGCACTTAATGGTTCAGACTGTTTGTTTCAGCTTTTTAATGGTTCAGATGTCTGAATGGCTAAGAGATTTGCCACTGAATGGTTAAGTATTATACAGAGTCTGAATGGTTAAGACCTCTTATCTAGATTGATCAGGCATTTATCTTTGAATAGTTAATCAATATACTAGCTCTTTATGGTTCAGACCTCTTACTGGTTCAGCACTTAATGGTTCAGACCTCTTACTGGTTCAGCACTTACCTATTCAGAAGTTGTCAAACAGCCACTTACACATTATGAGAATTTGATGAGTCAAAGTGCTTAGATGAACAGATCCAAAAGTCAAATGTGGACAAATACAGTGAGACGGATGGAGTACTTGTTATATACTCCCCCTTCCTATTAATCCCTTGGTCCATAAATAATGTTCAGAATTTGACTTGGCACGGAGTTTAAGAAAATGTAAAAAAAGCTTTGACTTTCCAACTTTGCCCTTTAGTTAATTAAAATTAAAGGTAAAGGTGAATAAAGTTAAATAGTAGTGATTGGATAGATAAAGTAATGAAAATGATTAAAATATTGTTAAAGTACAAGTACAAAAGTAGTCATCACCCCATACCACTACAACATTACACGGCACCTTCACTGCCTAAATGACAAAAAAAATTCAGTTCCCTCCATTTTTTTCAAAAGTTCCCACTCTAACTTCTTTTTTGGTGGGCTATTAATAGTGGCAGCACTTCATCCCTTCCAATTGCTTCCTTTTATGCGAAGGAATATTGCCTTATGTATTACAACTACAAGAGGGATTGTATCATAGGACTGTAAGAAGACTCGGTGTGCAGAATGAGCCAGCGGTACATGTGATGGAGACTCATGAAAACCTTTTGGGACAGTTCATTCTTGAAGAGGATGAAGACTTCATTCTTCAAGAATGAACTCGCACCTAGCACGACCTAGATGTTTTATAATTTTTGTGTAAGTATGCTTGTGTATTTTGAATATTGGGTTTTTGCTTTTTGGGTTTTTGGGTTTTGGGGTTTAGAAGCAGCAAGAAGCACAAAGCAAATTGTAATCAAGCATAAGTACTTGATATTGAATTAATGGTTTTCATCATTGCAGTTTTAGACACACAAACACACACAATTAGAGACCTCATCACAGCATGCTCAGGGGTAGGAAATGAACAAAAATTCATTTCTGCACCTTTAACCTCATCACAACCTGCTCAGGAGAATCAAATGGACAGAAATGCATACATAGGCACAAATGCAAAACCTAACATAGCATGCTCAGGGGTAAGGCAAGGACACAAATGCACACACACACTCTGCAGAGGGGCACACAGCTTGGAATGTCACAACCACAACGCAAAAAATAAAAATAATCATCCATCATAGCATGCTCAGGGGATATGTAATGCACACAACTTCATTTAGGCACAAGTGCCCAACTTAACAATTGAAATCAGTAAGTCATCACAGCATGCTCAAGGGTATCACATAGACACAAATGCGCACACACATTCTGCAGAGGGACATACACTTTGAAAGGTCACATGCACAAGGGCAAAAAGTAAAAAAATCAGTCACAAAACCAGAGCCTCATCAGAAGCACAAACATCATTACAGGATTCTTAGGGATCTAAAAAAATCCAAATAGAGAAGAGATATGGATTACTTGGGTGTATCCCAGCCTGGGAACATAAACTTTAGGATGGTGTCACATGTATGCTTTCTAACACACACGAAGTCAGACTTGGGAGCCTTCAAGGACTCAAAGGCTCCGTCCTCTTCCTCTGAATCTGGAACCGGCTCTCCCACCGTCGCACCCTCGTGAACTTCAATTTTTGCGGGAAGTTGCTCAATCACCTCTACCCCAGGCGCGATGAAGATTTTTCCACCTTCATCAGAGTCCTCCAGATCGGTGAACACATCAGGTGTTTCTGGAATTATTGAAACGTATCGCAAATCCTCAGAATCCATAGGGATGAGAGCAACTTTTGGGGTGGAAAAGAAATTTTAGATGTAGATCTAAGAGGTCAGAGGAGGCAAGTAAGAGAGAGGAGACGGATAGAGGAGACGGAGATAAGAGAAATGAAGAGACGAAAGAGGAGGAGAGATTTAGATCTGAGTATGCGTTAATAACGAGGAGTGAAAAGTTGGGGAAGTGGGGTGGTTGGAGTAAATTAAAGTGGGTGGTGGGTATTAAAGGCATTTCACTTATAATTCTTTGCCTAATTTAGAAACATGAACTTTATTTGTGGACGGACGAAAAAGGAAAGTACGAACATTATTTATGGACGGAGGGAGTATTAATTTCTCATTTTAACCGAGGCTCATTTTTAAGGAGAGTAAAATATGAATTGACTGTCCATAAATGCCCCTTTCATTACAAATTACAGGGTAGGAAATGAATTAACAACGGTAGACAATTTAAAGAAGTAAAGGGAGTACGATTATATTGTAAGGGTGAGAGAAAATCACTATTCATTAATCATTACACTGTGAGGGGATTTTTTAAAACTTTTCTCCAATATTTTTCTAACCAAAGGAGTAATTATTTAAACCTCCCTCCAAAATATTTCAACCAAAATCTAAAAAGTGCCGCCAATCTTCATATATAAATAGATGAAACTTTCCATTCTTAGAACTATGGCCATTGCCCCTCCTTTTTTCTTCTATTGCTGCTTTCAGTAGCCTTTCTAACATCTTTGCTCAATCTTTTTTTCTTCTACTGATACTTTCAACATCCTTTTTGTCTCCAAGCATGGCTACACCCTATCCCCCTTATACAGACCTACAACCAGAAGAGTTATTAGACCACCAATCAAAGTGCAAAAGGCTATCTAACACTACCAAACAACAAATAATTGATGGACTCTCGAAACATTCAAAGCAAATATTCACTAGAGAGTACACAATTCAGAAAGGCATAATCAACAAGTTAGCTACAGATTATAACGTCTCAAGAAGAACAATGAGTAGTATATAGAGCACAACAAGGAAACAACTTAAAGATGGGGTTGCCATTGATGTTAGAAACAAGTTAGCAAGCAAAGCGAGCTAGAAAAGGGTGGTGATTGAGGTGGGAGCTATTCAACAGATCTCATTGCGCAAAAGAACTACCATTAGAGCATTAGCTTCTGCATTTGTAGTGGTTGGAGGTTGGAGATTTAATTGTAAGGGTATTTGTGTCTATTTATTCATATTTTTCTATAATGTATCTCCATTTTATATTTTAATATCTATTTAAAATAAATTCTTTTATGGTTCTTATTTATACTCATTGAACCTTCATAAATGAAATGATTTGATTAGAAGATCTTGTAAAAATAAAGAGATCTAATAATGAGCCTAAGAAATATTTGAGAGGATCAAATTTTACATGTGACAGTGTGACACGGATAAGATTCTAAATCCCGATTCCTCGCTGATTTAGAATCCACTCCGAAATACAAGAACGTCATCCTCGCCAACAACAACTTCCAAGTAAAAATAAGAATAATCTCCACAAACATTCCTAAGCCAATATCTCATTTGACACTAATCCATTGACAACAAGCACAAATCAACAATTCATCTCTAATCTATGCTAAAAAAATCTAGCCTAGCATGCTAAAATAAGAGAGAAGCAAACTAAGAGATGCATGAAATAAAAGAGAGAAGCTAATAAATAAAAGGCAAATATTAGAAGCAATAATAGCGAATCTAAACTAAGAAGCAAATACTCCCTCCGTTCCCCAAGTTTTTGTCCACTTTTGACTTTTGGAACTGTTTATCTAAGCAATTTGACTCATCAACTTCTCTCAATGTGTATGCCTAAATATAGTCATGTGTGATCTTGTTTGATTTGTTTTAACTTATAAATTATTAATATATAATTTCTACAATTTTTTAATATACAAATTACAAGATAAAATGGATAAAAGAAGTGCATTCGATGGTGTGTAAAAATAAAAGTGGACAAATACTCTGGGATGGAGGGAGTAATAAATTTAAAGAGTAAAATTTGAAGGATGGAGCTCCCAAAATAAAATGACATGATGAAGAAGATAAGTAAAATCATAGTCTAAGAATGGGAGAGCTCCCTTGCAAAATGGAGCTAGGGGAGTATATATAGAGTAAAGGAAAATGAAGGTAAAATGACCATCTTGGGGTAGCAATTGAAAACTAAAAAGAAATAGAACAGGGGTAGATTAGGAATTTCGTACTCCAAATTGAATTGGATCTACAATGTTGCTACTGTTCCATCCTCTTCTTCGCGTATCGCCAGAATTGGAGGTGTGCCGTCATTCGTCGTTACTTGTTGGAAGGCCAGCACTAGTTTGAAGCAATAGTACCTAGCTAGGAGCTCTGCCTCTTAGACCTTGCTACGAAATTTGTAATACCATCGAATAATTGTGCACTCGGCACCACCCAACTTGTTAACAACACATATTTAAATATTTGTTGATCAAAGTAAATTAAATTACATAAAATATCCAATGACACAAAAATTAGCAACGAATTCTTGCACTTTGTCCCTTTGTTTACCTCCTGTTGGTTTTCATGGTTGACACTGCAAAACTCGCCGGTTTTTGTTTCTCCTCATGTGTGATTTTAAGGATATGTTGTTGAACAACAGTAGCGTAGAAACGATTCAAAGGTGGCATGGGCTCCACAATTAAAATATTACTACCTCTCCAATAAAAAATTTCTATATTTCATTTTCGTTTGGTCTAGAATAAGGTTTCATTTTCCTCTTTTACAAAAGAAATAAATTTATTTCTCAAAATCTTCATGCCAAATCAAAGTGTAAAACACGAAACTTTTTAACAAGATAAGATTAGGTCTTATTTCATTATCCATCTCCATCAAAATATACTACTACTAGGGAGTA